AAAGCTAATATCCAAAGCATTGCCTTCAGTTGGCCCTGTGTTTCGGATATCCAACTTTCAGATGAAGTCAATCTTCAGTAAGACTTGTATCCCAGAAGCATTGCCTTCAGTTGGCCCTGTGTTTCGGATACCCATTTTGAAGAAGTGAAGAAATTGCTTATTCCGCTGAAGTCATACTTCAATTTCTGGGGGGCAAGAAGCACTCTCAGTGCAAGTATGTACGGCAGAATTGAAGAAACAGAAACAGTAAAGCATTCAAAAACAAAGCAACTGAAGAAAAGAACATCAGATATATAATTCATGCTCAGAAATTGAGCTACAAGTTCAATTAAACTGTATCGGCAGCCGCCCACAAGCGGAAAAATAACAGCTGCCGAAATACGTACATAAGCAAAAAAAAATAAAACTGCTGTACGACAAGGCAAGCTGAAGCAAAAAACAAGGCAAAAAATTCAGAAAGCGGCAAGTCTAAAGTTAAGCACATGATGAACCGCAAGATTCTGAAGACGACTGCCCGAGTTCCTATGCTTCAGCCTGAGGATCAGACTGATCAGCGTTGAGCCCCATGGTGGCCTCAGCCCCAGCAGCAGAAGAAGCGGGCTTTGCACTCTGCCGAGCCTCCCTTTCCCTCTGTTCAGCTTCCAACTCCATTCTCTCAGCTTCCTCTTCGGCTTCCTCAGCCTTAAGGATTTCAGCTTCGGCTGGAGTTGCATACTTCATATGAGGGTCTTCGGGATTCTGGACCCATTCAGCACACTTAGACCAGTCCAGCTTCGGTTCAGCATGAAGGCAGACTCTTCGGCATACTCGGAACCCGTTTCTGAAACCCATCTCATATTCCTCTTGGGTATAGACACGGACTTTGAGTAGAGCCTCAGCATCAGCCAGCTTCTTCTGGGTCTCCTCCAAGTCTTCCTTGGATTTCTTCAGCTCATCAGCGAGCTTGGAGGAGGAACCTTTCAGCTCATTCAGCTCCTGCTGAACTCGGGAAGCCTTTGTCTGAGCTTGGGCCACTTCGACTTTCTGGGTCATCAGTTGATCCTCAGCCTCATGGAGTTTAGCTCTTTGGGCTTCGGCAGCAGCAGCAGCCTCTGAGAGTTGGACATCTTTGGCCTGGAGCAGCTCTTCAGCAGCCATTCGGCTGGCTTCAAGAGCCTCTAGACGTTGCTGCACTTCAGCTTGTGCAGCAGCTCCTTCCTGAATTCGGCTCTCAACAGCAGCCTTGAATTTGGAGACGTCCACTCCCATATGCTCCTGGAGGAATTTTTCCCCTTCCATCAGTGGGGGAAAAACTTCCTTCTCCATAGCGTCGCAGAAGGTTTTGAGGGCTTCAGCAGCTCTTTTCTCATACTCCTCACCCTTCTGCTGCTTCTCTTCAGCTGCTGCTTGCTTCAGCTTAGCAAGCTTTAATTCTTCTTCAGCTACCTTCTTGTCGTGCACAGCAGCGTCTACCCTATCTTGTAGGGTATCTATCAGCTCTACAGTGAGAGTCTGATTGTGCACGAACTGAAAACAGGAAGACAAAAAAAAAAAAAAAAAAAAAAAAAATATATAGAGCTGAATTTCAGAGGAAATGAAGACAAGGAAAATTACCTGCATCATCAGCAGTTGGTTAGACCTGGCTGGGTCAGGAACTGATCTGCTGGATTCGCCCATCCCAGCAGTGGCCTTCAGCGACCAGATCCTTGCCCTATCTACTTCGGACATGCCAGCAAAATCGCCGAAGTAGGCTGCAGCTCCTTCTCGGTTCTGACCCCATATAAGGTCCCAGATGTGGTCTGGGATTGGAATTCGGGGGGCCGAGAAACCCATTTCTCCAGATTGCAGAGTCTGGAAAGAAGGGAAGGATGACGATGGAGCTTGATTAGCTTTGGATGGCTCAGCATCATCCTTCTCAGAGGAGTCAATTACTATGACCTCCTCTTCTTCAAGGGTGAGGACGAAAGCCTCAACCTCTCTTGCGATGTCTGCCGTGAATCCCTCAGCACTGGACATCACGGCATCCTTGTTTTCGTGCTCAGCAGCACTCTCCCTAATTTCTTCTTGGACCCCTCCCTTAGATTCGGGAGTTTTCTGATCCACCTCCATCTCAGGAGGTGGCGGAGGGGTCTTTTGAGGTGATTGGGGTGGTGGCCGGGGAACCCTCGGCGATCCATTGCCTTCCTCGGGTTCCCTTATTGCAACGCCGATGGTCATCGGCCTCCTCTGAAAGTCATGAGGGCCGATGATGGCCATTCTTCGGCGCCTTTTCAGAAGGGGCTGCTCGTCCATATCTGAGTCTGAAGACTCTCCTTGTATTTGGTCTTCGGGACGAACAGGAGCTTTGCCTTCTCTGTGTCTGTTACTCTCTTCAGACTGTAACAGACAGTGGGGAGGAAGAATGTGAGTTAAAAAAAAAAAAAAGAAGAAGAAAAGAAAAAAGAAAAAGTTAAGTCTGAAAGCTCACCGAGGTCTTCAGCAAAGCCTCGTCTTCTTCAGCTGCTCTAGCTGCAGCTTCGGCTTCAGCAGCTCTGGAGGACCCTTCTCCTCCTTCGCAAGCTTCGAGAACCCGTGCAACCTCTTCGGCTGTGCGGGCAGCTTCAGCTTCTTCGTCCAGCAGCTGAAACCAGGGGTCTCTCTTCTTCCACCAAGGCTTCTGCCTCTGATACAGAGCAACAGCCTCAATTTGGAAGTGGGAAGAGTCTAGATGAACTTCCCTATTCCTCGGCTCAGTGATAGACGGGGCCCGTTCAGTTACAACTCGTTCTCGGTTGACACCAAGACGAGCGTAGTTAATGCCAACGTTGGTCTCGTCCCGCTCTGAAAAAAGGAAAGGGGAAAGGTTAGCTCAGATAGGTTGGAACAGCATAAAAAAGCGAAGCGAGAGAAGAAAAAGAGATAGTTAAAAAGCCTCGGCCCCAGCCGAAGAAGCTTACCATCCTTAAACTTTCGGCTGAGGCCAACAGCTGCTAGCATGTTCTCTTGGAAAACGTAATGCGTATCGGGGAGCCATGTCTCCGGGATATGCTGCATTCGGCCACTGCCCCCCCGGTTCGGCAGCTTGCCGAAGATATGTTGCTGATCCAGGTTCGGATCCGCCCCGTTATCTGCGGGGGGACCTAGACTTCCCATTTCGGGATCAGGCTCAGCGAGGTACCGGGGAGCGCTGAAGACGCAAGGGTGGCCCGGATCTGTGGGTGCCCTAACCCAAATCCATTGACCTCTCCAGTCCTTGTCTGAAGAGTCGTTTGGCCACATGGTTAGGTATTGGGGCCGGGACTCAATCCGGTACCACCCAGAACCATGGCTTCCGTGCCCACTTTGAATATTTGGCACTAGCCGATGGAGCTTTTTGAAGCAGTGCAGGTTCGGCACGTACTTGAAGAACTTGCAGACCCATAAGTATGTCATCACCCTTCGGATGCTGGTGGGAGTTAACTGACATAGAGAGATGTTGTAATGGATCAGCAAGTCTCGGACGAATACGTCCAAAGGGAACCTCAGCCCGTACTGAAGCTGTCTTGTGTACACCCCCACATACCCCGGGGGTGGACGATGGATTCTATCGGATGCTGAGGGCATTCGACACCAATACCCATCAGCTTCAAAAATTCCGTAATGCAACTCAATTTGCTCGGCAAATCGATATTGATCGGCATTCTCCACCCACCATGGGTAGGGGCGGTTTTTTATCATGGCCGAAGCAACTTCGGCATTCTCCCATTCTGAAAACCCGGGGAGGATATCCCAAAGGACAGCGGGAACTTCATCATCCCGTCCAGAAGCGCTCGGCTCCTCCGTTCTCTGAGGAGGAGCCGAGGAAAGGGGAGTCGCCCTAATCCCTTCAGCAGGATCAGACTCTGGCCTTTGTCCATTCCAGGTCCCAATCCTGTTCCTATGATCGGGAATCGGCCTTGCTCTTCTTGGAGCACGGGCTCTACCTCTAACTCCTCTTGCCATTGATTATTTCGAAGAAAAAAGTCGAAAGAAAAGGGGAAGGAGTTCGAATTCGAAGAAAAATAAACTGAAATCAAAGGAATTTACCTTAATCCGAAGCGAAAGTTGCCGATTTACGAGTTCGTAGTGGCAAGTCTCAGTTTCTAAGCTTAATGCTCGGGGAATTTGCGAAGTTTTGATGCGGGTTCTTGGTTTCTCTCTCGAGAATTCTGGGTTTGTGTTGGTGAATAAGTGAGGAGAGATGACGCGCCTCTGTTTATATCTCCAGGTACGGGATACGAGGAGTCTGCGTTTTAATTTCTCTTAAGTACTCCACTAAGTAACCGTTAAACACATGATCTTGTGATTAAACTGCCCATTATCCGTCCAACTTCCACAATCATTAACCGTTGTTATCTCATTAATTACGGTTTAAATTCAAATTTTTGGGTTAATTAAATCATTTACTTCCCTCCTTTTCTGAATTAAATCAAACCCGACCCGTCATCCTTCCAAATCGGGTCTGGGGGGCAAGTTGTTTGGGTCCAATTTAGTCCAATTGGGCCTAAGCACTAAATGATCCAATTAAAAGCCCAAGGTCAAGGTTCAACTCTCCAATTGTGCTAAAGTCAAAGGTCAGCCCACAAAGCAAGCCAATTGGGCTAAGGCCCAACCTCTCCATGTATGATGAGGTATAAAAGCCATCATATTGATACATTCAAAGGGGGATTCGGATTCATTCATAGATTCATATGTTCATTCATATATTCTGAGATATTCCAAAAAAGCCTCAAGCAACAAACTCTCTTGCATAGTGTCTTCTTCTTACACATTGTACTGACTTTAGCATCGGAGGGGCCTTCCTCGGCAACACCCCCGAGGCTAGTTTACGTGTGTTTACTGTGCAGGAAATCTTCGGCCCAACATAACTTGGACCGAATCCAGCCTTCTCCATTTCAGCGGACCTTCGGCAAGGTCCCATTGTTTTCACCCGAAACAGTACTAGATGATTCAACTTAGCCTGAGAGAGCCTAAGCTAAGCTGTCGGACGTGCTTGTAAATATCTACCGAAATTTGTATAGTTTAATTGCTACATTAGGAGACTGATCTATGCTTGACTCTAAAAGGGTATTTTCTGTTACTGTTAAGAAATATCGAATCTCAAGCAATGATTGTGTTAGCAGTTTATTTATGAATATTACAAGGCAAAAGTACATTCTTTTGTCTGCAACAACCGAAGTTCCTAAAATTGTACAAAAGAAAATTAAACTAGTACAACATAACTCATTCCATCACAAAAGGAAATGGATATAACAACATATATAATTCATTTGTTACGAACTGAATTGGAATTCTGCAAGTAAACACAATCACCTTGAACAAGTTGATATTATCTCCCGGTGCCTTCGTTGACTGTCAACTGTGAAAATACTTCTCCAGTACCAGTGTTTGATGATTCAAATTCATAGCCATTATCAGCAATACTCTGAGAAGGGAAACGCTGAACAGCAGGAAAAGACATGTTAAAGGAAGCATCAGTGGTGCTGTCATCCTGCAGAACTTTTTCAGTAGCCGCTTTCTGAAGCTGCAGGGCGTACTCCAGACCCCAGCATACATCTGACATAGGAGGTCTCTCTGCTGAATCTCTTTTCAAACATTTTTGTGCTACCTCAAAGAATTTCATCAAGGAATTAGCTTCGATTTCACCTGCAATACACGGATCGATTATCTTCTCAAGCTGTCCCTCCTCAAAGCAAGCAATTGCCCAATCAGGTAAACTGATTTGCTCTTTTGGAACTGATTGATCTATTACAGGTCTTGCACAAAGAACTTCAAACAGAACCACCCCAAAAGCGTAAACATCAGATTTTTCAGTCAGTTGCAGGCATGTGATGTACTCAGGATCTAGATAGCCAAGAGTTCCCTTCACATCTGATATACTGACATGAGTTTGTTCCAGATATCCTGATCTTGACAGCCCGAAATCAGCAACCTTAGCAACGTAATTTTCATCTAGCAATATATTCGTAGACTTGACATCTCGATGAATGATTCCCTTGTTTGTACCAACGTGGAGGTACTGAAGACCCTTGGCAGCCTCTATGCAGATCTTAAGCCTCTGATTCCAAGACAGCACCCCATGAGTAGACGAAGCAGGACTATGTTTCGAGTCATACAGGTGATATCTGAGGGTCCCTTTTTCCATGAACTCATACACCAGTATCATCTCACCATTTTCACAGCAGTAACCAATCAAGGAAACAAGATGGCGGTGGCGAATCTTTGATAGAATCATAATCTCTGTCTCAAATTCTGCTATTCCTTGACCATGATCAGAACTGCCGCGCTTCACTGCCACTTTCAGCCCGTTTTTTATTGTGCCTTTGTACACCTTTCCAAACCCACCTTCACCAATGATCAAACTTGCATCAAAATTGTTTGTGACTCGTCGAATCTCAATCAAAGGTATAACTAAACCCAACTGCAGGTTCTGATGAGTTGATGTATGGGAAGTTGACCCATCTGAAGCCCTGTTGTGAGAACTTGTTGTACTATTCAGCAGCAAATTTCCCCACTCGAATGCTTCAGCTTGCTTCTTTCTCTTCCTTTTCTGATGAATAATGAAAACAAAAACAGCTGCCAAAACTAAAATCAGGAAAACTGCAGAAGCACTGAGTATGAATACTAAGTGGGAATCATTAGTTACTGAGGGTTCTGAATCTGTTACATTCATTATCTGCATAATTTCCAACCCATTCAGAAAAAAGAAAGTCTTATCAGGGAATGTATCGTTTGGTCTTGGTCCTACACTGATGTTTATAAATCCTAGAGCATCAGACTCAACAACATAGTCCTTATAAAAAGGAAACTGTCTGGTGCTCGACATATCCATCACCTGACTATAATTACTGTAAATGTAAAGGTTAAATCGATACTCTCCTGCAGAAGGGCTTAAAATGTCACAGAAATGAACGCGAATAAAGTACCGATTTCCTTTGTTTGCACTGAACTGCCAAGTAAGGTTGGGAATTATTCCAGAACTAGAAGAATTTTTCGGTATTTTTGCTGTCTCATAAACATCCAATGGAGCAAAATCATTGGTTGTTTGACCCGGACCGTTGTCAATAGTCCCTTTAGTTTTATTCTCTGCATCACCCTTGTTGATGAGATACTGATCATCTGGCATCCAACTTCTCCAAAGGGTGGAACTTGATCCATTAATCTTTGGACCCCCAACATTAATCCTGTAGAGTGTTTCGAGAACTTTCGATTGCTGACTGTTGTAATTTCCCAAGCTTCCTGCAGGTGTTACACGAGGGCCTGTATCTTCTGTGATGTTTGAATTTATAGAGAAGACGATTTCTATAGCATTAACAAAAGCTATAGACGATGAAGTAGGCACAAAGTAAATTTTGAACTTATCTTTAACATCATTTATATTGAGGATGAACTCCTTTGTATTGCTTGAACAATTTTTAGCATTTTTCCCTGCAATACTGAGCTCAGTTAGCAGCAAATGCCCTGATGCCGAGACATGGAATTTTGCATCAGCAAGCGAAGAAGAGAAGGGACAGAAATGAAGGCGCACAAAATAAGTACCATTTTGTGTGATGACAAAGTCATAGGTTGATGGTTTTTTTGAAAACTCTTGCTGTCTGGTACAAGGGTTCAGGCGGGTCTGCTGAAGAAACAGCATGATTTTTATGACGATAGAAGTGGACTGCTTTGTTTCGTTCATCTCCGATAAATGTTTGGCCGGCAGTGGCGATGGCGTTGTCAGAGGAGCCACAGTTGATGAAGTAGTCCTCTGCAGTGCAAAGTGAGGAGAAGAGGAGGGGAAGAAACAATTGAAAGATGGAGAAAAATGAAGCAGCAGTGTGGAAGTGAAGCAAAATCATGGTGTGATGATAGAGTTTGATCGTCTATTCGTCTTACTCTGAGAGGTGAAGTTGCATTATGAGTGGTAATTATTTGAGAATAAGTGCAAGTGTAGAAGAAATATCCAAAAACTGGCTTCAAGGGTGACTTCAGTTGACTTGAAAAGTTGTATAGTACTATCTTCTTGCTATGTTTTAAAGAAAATTGTGTGAAGGTCTTTTAGCCTTCAGTCTTTGATGGTTGTCATTTTCATAAAAACAATAAAGCACGGTTGGCCATTAACTCCCTTCCTCCACGGTCAGGTCCCATGCCCTGACCGAAAAGTATCTCTTACAGACCCTTCTTTTCTTTCAGCCTTAGAAAAGGATGTGCAAGGGAAAGTGTCAAATCTATGTAAGTAGTACAAGTTTTTGTGTAACATATTTATTATCAGCCTAGATTTGAATATTAATACTGCAAAGCAGATAGTGCAAGTAATTATGTACTGTGTTCATCATTTTCACTATTTGCCTCTTTCCATCCTTATCACAATGAGCTTCATACTTGGAATGAAATCTTATGTCTGGCAATCATAGTCGGCAATCTCAGATCAAAATTGAACCTGACTTGATGTTAATGAGAGGATACCGGAAACATGGCTCAGACTCGAATAATCTTAATATGACTCATTCATCATATCTAGTAGTAATAATGTACTTCACATTCATAGTAACTTTTATTAGATTTTGATCATATAAAACCAGTTGCGAACCTAAAGTCCTAGCTCTACTTTATAAATTAGTGGAAAAGCAAATTTTATGAACATGTTGTGAGCATTATATTTCTAGAAAGATAACTTGAAATGAAATTACAGCAATGTGTCTGCACAAAAATACCAGAAGCAAGCGCGAAAAGAAGACTAGAAAAAAAAACTTGAGATTTGCTGCTTTTACTTAAGCAGCAACAATTACTACTGACTGAGAGAAAATTTAACCAACCTAAATCAATTTCATATCATCTCCCAGTGGCATCGTCATAGGTCAACTGAGAGAATACTTCTCCAGTACCAGTGTAAGATAACTCAAGGTCAAAATCACTTATGTTCTGAGAAGGAAAACGATGAACAGCAGGTAATGGCATGTTCAGGGAAACATCTGTGGTGGTATCATCTAGCAGCACTCCTTCAGCAGCCGCTTTCTGAAGTTGTAGGGTGTATTCCAAACTCCAACATACATCTGACATTGGAGGTCTTTCTGATGCATCTTTTTTTAAACATTTCTCAGCTGTCTCACAGAATTGCTTCAAGGAATTAGGCTCGATTTCATTTGCAATTAATGGATCGATTATCTTCTCAATCTGTCCCTCCTCCAAGCAAGCAGTTGCCCAATCAGGTAAACTGATTTGCTCTTTTGGAAGTGACTGATCTATAACAGCTCTTGCACAAAGAACTTCGAAAAGAACCACCCCAAAAGCGTACACATCAGATTTTTCTGTCAGCTGCAGGCATATAATGTACTCAGGATCTAGGTAGCCAAGAGTTCCCTTCACATCTGATATACTGACATGAGTTTCCTCCAGGTATCCTGATCTTGATAGCCCAAAGTCTGCAACTTTAGCCACATAATTCTCATCAAGCAGTATATTAGTCGACTTGACATCTCGATGAATGATTCCCTTGTTTGTACCAGTGTGGAGGTACTGAAGACCCTTGGCAGCCCCTATGCAGATCTCTAACCTTTGTTTCCAAGACAGCATCCCTTTGGCAGAAGAAGCGGAAATGTTCTCCGATTCATAAAGGTGATATCTTAGAGTCCCTTTTTCCATGTACTCATAAACCAGTATCATCTCACCATTTTCATAACAATAACCAATTAAGGAAACAAGATGGCGGTGGCGAATTGATGACAGAATCATAATCTCCGTCTGAAATTCTGACATTCCCTGGCCATGATCAGGACTGCCTCGCTTCACTGCAACTTTGAGCCCACTTCTCAGAGTTCCTTTGTATACCTTCCCAAACCCGCCTTCACCAATGATCAAATTCTCTGCAAAATTGTTTGTTATCTGCCGAATTTCAACAAAGGGTATCTTCAAACCCAACTGCAGGTTCTGAAAAGTGGAGGCATGGGAAGATGTTCCGTCTGAGATCCTGTTGTGAGAACTGAACGCGCCATACATGGGAACCCACTCGGATACTTCTTTAGACTTTTGCCTCTTCTTTTTCTGTTGATACCAGAAAGCAACAGCTGCTAGAACAATTAAAATGGCTACTGCAGATGCAACCAAGCTGGCTACAAGAGCTAGATGAGACGGACTACCATCAATTCGGGGCTCTATGGCAGTTTCATTCAGCACCTGCATAATTTCCAGTCCATTTAGGAATAGATACTTCTTATCAACTGACACATTGTTTGGTCCTACACTAATGTTCAGATATCCAAGATCATCTGGCTCAACAAGATAATCCTTGTAAAAAGGATGATCTGCTGCGGCGATTTCTAATGGATCTATCACCTGATTGAAATTACTATACATGTACAAGCTAAAATTATATGGACTAGACGCAGGACTTATGATATCATAGAAATGCACTCGAACAAAGTATTGTTTGCCTTTGCTCACATTGAACTTCCAAGTAAGGTTGTTAACCATGCTGAGAGATTTTTTAGGTATTTTCGCCGTCCCATACACTTCTGGTGGAGCATCATCAATGGTGGCTTGACCGGGACCGGAAGCATAGTTAACACTATCGATCTTAGCAGGTGCATTTTCTGCGTCACCCTTGTTGATGAGGTACTGATCATCTGGCATCCAACTTCTCCAAAGGCTGGAACTTGATGCTTCAACCTCTATATCCCCAACGTTAATCCTATAAATTGTTTCAAGAACTTTCGATTTTTGACCCCCGTCATCTCCCAAGCTTCCTGCAGGTGTTACCCGAGGGCCTGTATCCTCTGTGATGTTTGAAGACGTGGGGAAGATTTCTATAGCATTAACAAAAGCTATAGACGACGAATGACTAGGCACAAAGTAAATTCTGAACTTAACATCAGTTATTTTAAGGATAAATTCCGTGGAATTCCTCGTGCAATTTGCATCAGTTTTTCCTGCAGGACTGAAATCAGTAAGCAACATATGCCCTGACGCCGAGACATTGAACTTTGCATCAGCAAGTGAAGAATCAAAAGCACAGAAATGCAAGCGCACAAAATAAGTCTCAAATTGTGAGATATCAAAGTCATAGCTTGCTGTTTTTTTAAAAACTCTGGCAGTTTGGTATAAGGCTTCTGGCTGGTTGCTGTCTGTGTCAGTTTTGCTGCCATGACCAGAGAGGCGGACAGTGTTTGTTTTTTCGTCTCCAACAAATGTCTGGCCGGCAGTGGTGGTGACGTTGTTAGAGGAGCCGCAGTTAATGAGAAACGGCGATTGAGCATGAGCGTTATAAGGTAAGAAAAAGAGGAAAATGGAAAGTAAAATTAGGAAGATTGAAAACTGAAACAACTCCATGGTGGGATGAGGAGTTGAGGGAGTTTGATTACCTCATTTATGTGGTTGTGGATAATAATTATATGTTAGAAAATGCAATTTTTTTCAAGTGTACTTTTGTTTGAGGTGACTTGCTGACTTTTGTTGACTTGAAAAGTAGTACATAGATACAACTATTAACTACTTGCTGTAATGTAACCAAGTTGTGATAATTCTGTGAAGAATAAGTGAATAACAGTCAGAGTAGATTTTTCTCATTTTTAGCAGCCATAAATTCCATTACGCAAATCGCAAGACCCTCACAGTACAACTTTTCTTTCTTTCTTTTTTTTTTTTTTTTTTTCTTTTTTTTTTTCATGAAAATCAAGTTTAATTCCATACCTGTCATTCATCCTACTAAAGTATATAAGAGCCTATTATGTACACCCGGATGTACCGTACACCCGAAGTCATTTGTTCATTCAATTAACAAATGAGTAAAAATATTACTTGTTTATTTGTGGATTGAATGAGCAAATGACTCCGGGTGTATGGTACACCCCGGTGTATATAACAAATTCTAGTCTATGCCAGCATAATGCTTTATGTCAGTAAGAGATACTTCTTTGGATCTTAATCGAACATAGATTTGAAAGAACGAATAATGGCACTATCGTCTTTGCTTTATTCCTCTAAATGCTACCACAAACAACAGGATCGTGTTCATAGATAAACACTTTCATTACAAGACTATCTGGGTACAACAACAATATTCAAAGGTCATAGCTTATGACCAGATGGAAAAATTGTTACATTATTGAAGCTGAAATTTGAGGGGATTAGCATATTTATCAATGATCATTGATATGATATGCTGCTTAACTTTGCAAGGTACCCTCAATATGGGCAGAATGCATCTCTGCAAGAAGCTCAATGAGTGGAATCTCTACATCAGTCCAGGCCTCACGTCGAATACAAGTTTTCCCATGAGGAGTGACAACTGTGACCTCTTCTTTGCGATTAGCAAGTTCATTTGCTACCACAGCATGCATATTGTACTTATTAAGTGCTGAAGAGGCTTTGTCCAAAAGAATCAGAGAATCTGTTTCTAACTGCTCGAGTATCAAAAGGGGAAGGAAAAAAAAAAAAAAAAAAACCCTTAAAACAGTAGGATTGAATCCAAATTTATGCTCAGTATCAAACAGTAAGATGCAAGAAGCTTCTTATACAAAGCAGAATATCATACAAGACGCATACTATGAAAAAGTTAGATATTCCTAGCACATACAAACCACATAGCAATATATCATCGATCTTATAATAGTTGAGTGGTAAGCCTCATATTTTGAGGGTGAGATAAAAATGCTTTTCGAGAGAAAATCTTTCTCCAAACATTAAAGAAGAAACTACAATGCAAAAAAAATAAGAAAAATCAAGCTAGAATACCCTAACATGGTCCAATCATCCTATTGACCTTGGTTCTCATATAGTCATATCTATGATAATCAACAAGCACACAATCTATTACAATTCAACTTTAGGATTAAAATTTTGTCATAATTCATAACACTCTTTGTAATCTCGCAAGAATTCCTTCCAAAAGACCCACACAACCAATGTAACTTAGTGGCATAACTCAAGCACTTCGCAAAAAAGTTCAATGTATCTAAACAATTTCCAAATTCTGGGTAAGTCTCAACTTGACACAATAATTCTATGGAGTATCTCTTAAGTTGTACACACCTAAATTTATTCGGAAAAATTATCCCACCTTTGGGGCTTCTGCTAAAAATAATCCCACCTTTGGGGCATCCGCTAAAAATAATCCCACCTTTGGGTTATTTTTAAATAATCGGACGCCCCAAAGGTGGGGTTATTCCGGGCAATTTTTCCAATTTATTTCATTTTTGAATTTCTATGTACTTAGTTCTATGTCAATTGTATCCAAATATATGGGTCAAGTAAAGTTCTCTTGATCAACTTAAAAAACACTTCAGTCAACAGAAGAAATAACTAGTCACATGGTCCTATAGAAGTTCCTACATCCACACCAAAACAAGCAAAGACTAACACAGCCTTACAAACTTCCTACTTGCAGACTAAAACAGGCGAAGGACAATTGACGGCCCTACACAAATTATTCTACCTAATTGCCCATACCCAAAGCTAATGAATCCCCACAACCCACTTGTCTAACATCATTTTCTTTCTGCCACTAACCTGTTACCCCTTATCACAAAACTGGACAGACAAGTTTGCAAAAACTACTGAAGTATAATATTTGCTGAATGTATAATATATGCAAACAAGACTAACCTTAAAGGATATGAAATATGCCAGAGGAGCCCAGTCCTTTCTAAGCACAGAGAGCATCTTTGGTACTTGAGCAAGACGCATATCCAGGGGTCCTGCCGCAGACTGAATCTTATGTTCTGCCTGCAAATTGAATTTGCTGAGCAATGGATGAAAAAAGGAAATACTCTGTAATAATAATTTGTTACAAAACTTCCTTTGCATTCAAGACTTTATACACACAACAGACAAAGCAACAAATGCTTTGACTCAGACAAATGGGATGTGATTTCAAGTAATTGTAGTATAATGGAACTAGTACCAAGGGGATATAAGTGATTTGATTTGTTTCAGTTATCTACTCAAGTATCTCATTTTTTTGTTATAGTTTCTAGTTCCTATATGTGAACAATTATAATAACATGACAGTCAAGAATGGAATTTTAGTTTCTTTCCTACGAGTACTATCTATGCATGGAATCTTAGTCAAAGTGCGAAGTCTAAACCATGATAATAGTATTGAAGCAATTATATGAGATCGAAGAGCCTTAGCCCGTGGAAAGGGTAGTATAAATATTTTTGCATGTTCTTTTTCCTATTTATGATAGGGTGGGGAAGATGCCGATTTTTAATAAAGATTGCAAACACTTATTTTATTTGTATTTTTTTTTAAAAAAAAAAAGGGGGATTCAGATAGGCTATTCAATGAATTGTATGATCAGTAAGGTATTTTTCAAAGAAGATTTCCAACTACAAAGATCAATAACAAACAAAGAAACTTTAATAGCTCACAACACTGGTACGTACCATGCTCTCCCAAGGGACATAGAAATCTGAGACAGCAGCAGCAAGATAGAACATAACACGTGGCCCAAGATCCCTTAGTGCACCCGCAATCATCTGCAGCAACTGTTTTAAAAACAAGAGCAATTCAGTTATGCAGGAATGTCTGAGCCAAAAATAGGTAGGCATTTACTGGATGCTACAAAATTTTATGGCAGAAAATTATAATAGAACTTGCTACTTGGAAAAATTGCCACTTCATAAAGCTCTATGGCCACCCCGTGAGTTAAGAATCAAATTTTCAAAATGTCTATCAAATGACACAAACAGACGTGAAATGAAATATGCAAAGTAGAATTATAGTCCAAACAATCATTCCCCGTACCATATTAATAAAAGTAATGAGTCAAAAACTACCAATGTTCATGTACATTATCACGCCAATGTGTTGCTATCATCTTCAAACCAGAAGACGTAAAGTAAACCTGGATGTTGGTTTGCAACCTAAGGGATTGTTTAACATGGCACACAGTTGCAGCAAATTCCATTATCCCAAAAAGAAAATGAAGATCCACGGACAACAACTAGCACAGCTGGGACAAAGTGCTGAGCAGATGAACAAAACTCATCCTTTCCCTCCCTCCAAGTTCTTAAAAAAAAATACAAATCTAAGATATTTCAGGTACTAATCATTTAAAAAATAATAAATAAATCAAAAACCAAACACTAGCTCCGTATATCCTTGAACGCTCATATGAGACGTACATAACCTGAAGATTATAGAAGGCAAAAGATTATAATTAGGGAAGCTAACCTGGAGATATTCAAAAATGGTAGTGAACTGAAGCTTTAACAAGACCCCAGATTCCACCGCCTGCCATTCATAACCCAAAATAACAATCAATAATCTCAATCTTTTCTCTAAAGGATTACAAACAGAAGGAAAAAATGAAGATTTAACAGAATATATGCAAAACACTGATATATAACAAAGATATAGGGGTCCATACTGCATGGTGATTGGAGATTGCCTTCCTTATTGCCTCAGCATGTGATCGCACTGAATGGATGTCAGAGAAGTAACGAGTATTATAAGCACGTAAAGGAGCATTTATTCTACAGAAAAAGTTGGACAAGGACTGATTAAATAATAACGCATTTGTGCTAAAAGTTGATCCCCCCCCCCCCCCCTCTTCCTCCTCCTCTCCCCAAACCCCCATGGCACCTAGAAAAAAGGTGAAAGTTATCTAATAACAACAGAATTCAGCTTGGAATTTGTCAAAGATTTTAAGAATCATCCTGTCAACAAAAAATACCAGCTTTACTTCTTAGACGACCACAGAAACTGTAAGATCCCATTTCTTTGGCTTTAGGATTTCTTTCTCAATGCAAGTTTCTTCTGTGGTAAAGGGCAGCTAGATAAGGTCATTAGGATGATGATTCCAATTTCTAACAAGTTTTGATGATATTAATTCAGATATTATGTTTTTTCCAGGAATCTTCAGTCTTCTCAGGAAGCTAGTTTGCCGGTGTTATGAACACATATCGGTAGGTCCACAGGGAAAAGCATATCTAGAGGGCTGTAATTTTTCTTGTTGATCATATGGCCCAAATCAGGTTTTAAGATGTCAGACAACCAGAAACTAATTTCCCACTAATAAATATCTTTCTTGATTTTTTGGCCGAAAAAAAAAAAAAAAGGAACCACTACAGAGTCAGACAACAGTGATAAATACTATAGGTGGGGAGAGGCTAACCTTGTACTGATTCATTAGTTGATTCAAAACATTCAAGCATCGGGTCATCAGGAAGAGATCTACAGTATGGCTGGCAGGTTCCTCTGGACCAATCATCACACAATAGCTTCAATATAGTATAACTTAAGATAGATTGCATGAAAATTTTGAATAGTTACCTCCGGTTGAGAAAGATAACAGCATATCCAGCCTTGAGAAAGTACCTGAAAGCTAAACATATTGTCACCACTCACCACTAACAAATAGAAAACCTTTCAAAAGCACTAATTACAGTATGGCACAAGCCATTACTCTGTAGATGCAGCTCCTCGAAAGCCTGAACTGAAGTTATCAATATAGCGAACGCATCTTTGCTCAAGGGGAACAGTCGTGCCACCAGAAGTTATACATACAATCTTTCTCTTGGAGGCTTCATTTCCTATAAGAAAATTGTGATGCTTAATAACTAAAGTTGTAACCATGATAAACACATTTTTATCAATAAACATACAGTAACTCACCGGATGCATGAGAGTTGTGCTCAATAAATTCCTTTAACTTTTGGCTTATGACCAAACGATCTTTGAGAGGAGGCGCAGTGTCAAAAAAGTTATTAACTTCCGCCATGAATGATTCTTCTGGGTCATTTGACCTGCCATTTGAAGACATGGACTTCTGGTTTTTTTTTTCAGCCACTCTGTAGACAAAAAAAAATGAATATTAAGGACACTTGAGTTTATAAACG